CTCTCACACCTTTGCAACTAGCCAAGTATAGCCTGGGACTCAACAATGTGTCTAATATAATAAATATGCAAAGCAACTGCTTAGTAAACGAGAAAGCTTATTAAATGTGCTCTAGTATGCGACAGAGCAAAAACATCGACAGGATCACATGGACGGTGGTCGGTAACCCTACCGTTTGGTATTTGATTTCAAGTCTCGATCTTCTAGACAGGCTTGCTTCAAATGTATAAGGGGATTGTGAGTTCCTGCAGGTCACTACATACGTACAGCATGGCCCTCGAACACATTATCTGAGGGTTCATGATCAGGCTTGTTTACTTTTCCTCTGACGTCTTCTCCAGTAACTCTTTTATTTCGATCCGAAAGGCTCTACGCCATAAACATCAACAGAACACCACGTGGATTGTCTTGGAAAACGACCATGAAATGAAGAATAGCGCGAGGTCGCAGAAGGTCATCAGAATATTGTCACTCGCTCGACTTGCTCTTTTGTGTTGCATATAATTTAGCATTCTTGCGTTGTATTTCAGCTTGATTACCAAGGCAAGAACAAGATAACATACTATTTTCAAATCATCAAGGCTGAATAAAGCGTCCCTCACCGTCGTTATCCATTTTCTTGCTTCCCCAATAGCTCTTCGTCGTTTCAACGCCTGTATTGCATTTGCAATGTTCCCTTCAGGAAGAAATTCAGAGAAAAACCGAATGGAACGTTAAAGCAACATTGCTGAATGGCACTTCGGTTCCGTGCCTTCCTCTTCAACAAACTGCCACATTAGTGGTTCTGAATACAAGAAGGCAGACAGATGGTAGTCGTTACTATATTCGCGAGCGTTTCGGCCAAGCAAAACAAGCCATCCTCAGAGGGCAAACAAAACAACGAGGTCGTTGGCAGAAACGTCGGTAGTTACAGATCACCCGCTGCCTCTCTGTGTCCAGAACCACTGAAGTGTCAGTTTACGGAAAAGACCTGTTAAAAGCCTCTGTACTGTAAGTGACTCGGACCATATCCGCAAAAAGGAAGCCGTGGAGCAAATCTACTGCAATGAAAATAGTAAATGTGCCATTTTACCAAGTCCTGTTCACGTGGCTCTTGAAATCGACCGCACTTCAATAAACTTCAGCGCAATCCCACATGCTGGATCGTTGCTCACGCCGTCAGGAATCAATTGAAAGTCTACCATACACCTGCGTTTCTACACGACCAACCGGTATCTGTTCCTTCCCCGCCGCTCGACTGATGACGTCAGAAATTGTGGCCTATTAAATCTGTTTCTTTTCAAGGGGGATCAGTGCTCACAGCCACGTTCGTTCTCAAATACTCTGGCTGTGTCGAATAAAGCGTCAAACGGCCGGAAGGCGTTCGCCACGTGATACTGGCGGCTGTTGAGCCGATCAGCAAACAGACTCTGACGTCAATTTGGTGATAGACTGACCTTGAAGATCATTGACGTGCGCAAGGATGGCGCGCAGAGCTGCGGAGTCTAAGAAAAAATTATTCACACATTAAATCTTCCAATCCTCATTCCTCTAGGAGACTCAGGTCCGGACTCCGTACTATGGCTAAAGCCAAAAGTTTGGTGTCGACCCAGACCCCCCACCCCTCCGCGCCAGATTTACACGACGTAACAACACCGTCTCTTTGTTTCTAACTTCAAATGAGTTTTTTTAAGCAGCAGGTGACGCCTTGATGGTATTGCAAAATCAGTATGCCATGAATCGCCACAGATTCGCCTTGCTCGAACAGATAAGACTCTTGGTGGCGCAGTGCCTAAGAGGTCGGCTTTGAACTCCGGAGGTGCGGATGTAAATCAATTTCCAGGGATAATCTTTCTCTTAACCGCGAGTTCGTTCGAGTCAGGGATTAACCCCACTCTATTTCTGCGTAGCCAGCTGAAAAATGAGTGGTGAGTCGCTGACCTGCTAATAATAGAAACAGCATGGCATTATGGTCTGATCATGCCAGAATGGACGAGGTACTCGGCTCTGCTGTCCAAAGGGAGCGCTCTTTATAGCTGCACTTCTTCCCCATTTAATACGGCCTATGCAGTGCAATAATCAGTCCAAGATATAACCGAGATTTCGATGTTAAAGATTTAAATCTTAAATTTAAACACTGTCTATCCTGGGCGCCTTTCTGCTTTTTTCCATAGGCTAACCTCTAGAAACCTCAAATAAATATGGACGCAATGCAGCGATGCCCTTGCAAATGTGAAGCAGCATTCCGAGTGACTGGGGATGTAAGAATGATCTAGGAATAAGCCGCCGAAAGCACAAACCACAAAACGATAATGAAACTTTGTCCCCCCCCCTCCCCCGCCAAAAAAAATCCACGCTCTCGTCCAAAATTTGCCTTGTGTCGAGGATTGTTTGTGAAACTTTCTCCATGGACTTACTGCTCTTCAGCGTTTCTATGCTTTTACCTGAAATATGAAATAACTCCCTTCGGTTCCTCAAACGGAGGTCATGATATCGATCTTTCACACACAAGTTTTGACAAGCCGTATCCGGCCATTTCGATCCTCTTGTGGCAGGTGCAAAGTCTGAGGGAAACAGGACGAC